GCGATGGAGCATACATGGGACGGAAGGCGGCCATATTTGGATGTAAAAGTGACGGTGGAAAGAAAGAACAATCGCAAAACGTAAGAAACGGAGCTCTATATAAGCCAACCAACCCTGGTATAATTTCCCACTGCAAATATGTGCATCCAATTTCCACTAAGGATAATACGATGTCTAACAAGTTCCATAGGGTTTTAAACAACTCATTAACACGCGCTCGATGGGCAGTCAAATTGACCCCCTCTCCCTCCAAAGGTTTTTTGGAATGGTTTCCGAACGGCGTGGTGTAGCCACGCCAAATTTGGCATGGTTGTGGACGATCAAATAGCCAATCGATTGACATGCCAAGATTACATCTACCTTTCACGGCCGCCGGTCTGCAGCAGGTCAGTCAGACCATGAATTTAACAAAGTCATTTTCTATGGAATTGTTCAGCCTGATGCAACAACGGAGCGCTGCACGAAGCCATACATCTCTGAGACGCTTTCTTAGGTAGCAAAACAATTGAATAAACAAATGCCATATACGTAGGCTTAGGTATGATGGTCATACCAAGGTCAACTTCAGCCTGTTTTATTACTCTGGGGCTTGCTGTATGAGTCTGGTGCTCATTTAGAGCTTATTGATGACAGGAATGTCATCATTCATCTTCCATGGACTTCGTAAAGCTCATTATAAGTTACTGACCTAAAATGATCAAGGTCAAAATGTTGCTTCTAGGAACATGCTGCAAAGCGTTACTCTCTGTCGCTTACTCAAATGCAAAACTCAAGGCAGTCTTGTATGATTTTGGTCACCATTACCTTCGAAAGATCAAACAACGTCACTGACCTTAAATGAGCATGTGAAATTTTTCTTAGGACAGGTGTCTAACTTCCGGGATACTTTGGACACCAACCTGGAGTTTGATCTTGTTTGACCTTATTTGGCCCAAAATTAGTCAGGAGCATAGGAGCCCCAAACTTTGACCCAAGTGAGTTTCTGTACAGGCCGACACACCCTGCGAATTTGGTGTTTACAGTTCTCTTACGGGGGCGAGTTAAGCAGTGAAAAGGAGAGAAAGATCATAAGCCAAATATGGACTTCATTGTTGGACAATGGATATCATCCACAACTTTCAGGTAGAATGTTGGAAGAGGTAAAACGTCGAGCGCGTGGAGGATGGCTAGTGGGAGGAGGTGACACGTCCTGTCAGACGACGGGTCCTCAACACTAAATAAATGAGCACTTCCTTTGGAAAATTAAAGATACCATTAGAAAATCAAAGCTGCGCGTTCGGATAGTTTGAAATAATGACAATCAACTAAAGAAGTCTGTGATGAAATATCGTATCTCGAAGCCCGAGAGCGCGGAAAAAAATAAATGGCATTTATGCAAGTCTTGGGTTCAAGGGGTATGCGCGCAAAAAAGCGGTTTACGAAATTAAGCGTAGACTGTGAAAAACAGGGGAGGGACATAGTCTACGTCGGGGAGTTTGTGCGCCCTATCCGTTTAAAGTGTAATGAACACCTGCAGGAAGCTAAAAACAAAACAAGGAGTGCCCCTCTCGGTGACGATTTTTTTGGTGGGGGGGGGGGGGCGAGATCACAGGACAAAGCCCGCTCAGGCGGAAATCCAATAAGGTATGGACATTTTACCCTTTGGAGAGCCAAAAGTCGACTACAGAATACAGGACCATCCAGACAGGGAAATATGTGAATATATTCATGTCAAAGGTCGGCGACCAGAGCTCAACGTCCAGGGCTCATCATGGCTGATTATGCGAATGAGATAAGCACCCTGCTGTGTGATGCGTGCTAGCTTAAAATCGCTTACACGCATGAGTGGTGCCTGGCAGTGTTGCTTTAGGCCTGTTTAAATGAAATCGTTTGCACGTATTAAAAATTTCGTGGCGCAAGCAAGCAAAAATTTTCGTGGCGCAAATCGCTTGTATTGTGAATGAAGCGTGATGCGTGGTGACTTTTTACCTTAATTCGTATGCACATACACGTATTTTTGCGTATTTTAATTCTCAGTTGGACGTGCACTGCATTGTAGTAATGGTTAGCAACTGTTGCTTTTTAAATCCCTGAGTGCTGGTGGCCTGTAAAAACTGTGACTCGCTGTTAAAAAACAACTGAAAAATGGAGTAGGGCTGGCAGGCAATTTTAAATTAACAACTGCTATTCCTTTTGATAAAGGTATGTTGCCAAAACATCAACGCATCTTTCTTGTCATTTCCCTGTTTTTTAAGAGGAACAAGGCTATTGCTACCGTCTGATCTATATGCATTATGTTTCGCAACGGCACTTGACGTCTTTCGTAACCATGGGCATTGCGTTTGTCTGAGAACTCACATATCATCGTCACGAGATCGCGTCTCACAGAAAAAAAATCAAAATCACCTGTATCCAACAGCACACTTTTCTCCGGCAGTACCAATATGGACAGGTACACTTGACAGGGCGCACACTGCAGCAGAGAACGTTACAGCCAGTGCAAGTGCAATGAGTGTTGCAGATGTCACATGTTGCGAGAACCGACACACGGTGGCAAAATGTGACTCGTGCTTTGCTTTGGCCGCTTTGCACACATTGCTCCACGTGCGGGATTGATTGGGAGCGGATGCCGATTGTCTCCATAGCAACAAACACTTTACAACAGATACAGCCAATTCAGGCACCTGAGGATGAAAACTTTCCTCCATTCTTGCCCCAGATCTGAATTGCTGTTGCTGGTAGCGGCATTCTGGGACTCGGCTGTGTTGCAAATGAATTACAGCCCTTCTGGACTTAGTCTATGCCAAAGGCTTATGACTGATCAAATGCAGTCCGAGGATGTGAGGTGACTGCTCATGCTTTCGTGTTGACAAGGCGAACAATGCGGAACTTGAATTATTCTTAAAAGTATCTTGAGTAGAGTCTGTGCAATGCTGGTCAGCGGTTACATGCTTCTAGCCGCAAGTTCCACTCAAGCCTTTGAGGCATTGCTGAAACTCATCTATCGAATCATCGCATTTTTGACGGCGGCTCGCCAACAGGTAGCAGGCGTGTGCTTTACTCACTGGTACTCTATTGGTTTATTCATTCCCCAGCTGGGTGACCGGGCGATGTCGAAGTAATAAAAAGGTATTTAGAAGTGAGACACGCTCCAAAAAAATTACAGGCCGCAATAATTTTCTGGACCAATACCGTAAATACGTACACAAATCTGCCCCGCCAGACATTGCACTTACTTAAAAATACAAAATGCAAGCAGCACGATGAAATTTACAGATTTGCGCGTCTCACACGCCAGTCTCAGCTTATTCGGGAGGAATCTTCCCACGAGAGGGGTCGTCCTATTCTCCTGAATCGAGGCTCGACCAGCTGACCAATCAGTGGAGTCACATGTCCCTCCGATGTACAGCAATATGGTTCCTCCACCGGCTCGGGCAATTCTGGAGCGGGCGGCTCGGGTGCTGAGTAGCCGAGACCGTACACGACGCGAGACGGCGATTGGCAAGTGTACCGCCAACACCCGAAAACCCCTGGTTCAGTCGAGACCGTTCACTTACAGAGATTGATCTTGCCTCATGTTCAAAGTCATGCCGTAGCTCTGCTTGGCGGGAAACCATCCGTTTGAAATCAAAGGGCATTTCAGATGGGATAAGTGGGACTCTTCGGGTGAAGATGTTTACCTTCTCAGCCTTGTTCTTCAGAAATGTCGCCATTTCAGGGGTTGGGAATTCAGGTTTTCGTAAGAGCATGATGGGCGCGTCTTGTTTGAACACCAAGCTGTGCGATGAAATCATAGTAGCCCCAGGCTGCTGAGAAGCCCCAGTAGGTAGTTCACAGCGTCCTCTGGGTTTGGGTTATTGTCTAGCGACGACTTGCAGGTCCCTGTCTCTCCGCGTTGCTTTTCCAGAAGCTTGCAGTTCTTATCAGCAATGAAGTCGGTCGTTGCCAGGATGACTTATTCGCTGAGCAAGGTCGAGTCTTGGTTCCAGGTCGATGAGGCCATGACCGAGAAGCCGTCAATGAGTGCTCTCTTTGGAACCATCACCCCGGTTGGGTTGACAAGCTCAACTGGCCGCTATATTCTGGTTTACACTCAATCGGTCTCCTCGCGACTGGCCGATACACATTCGATTAGCACGCGATAGCCGTTTTACTTCATTCGATGACCTCCGATGACCCCATTGGGCAAGTTTACTTGCCCCGCATAACGCGTCATGGTTCGATTTGGACCAAAGTGTAACACAAACCTTCATATCGCCATGCTGATTGAGAACAGATGGTACTAGGGGGTTCTACCACTGGTGGTTCTCGAGCCATGGGATCAGACGACAGGGTTTCCCATGTATTATGTCAGATAGATGCCTCGGAACGTGACTATGGTAGCATTGTAGCTATCAGAGTGGGGAGTGTATTCACGAATTTTCCGTGATGTATGATGCATAGGCACGCTCAGCCCATATCCAGTAAGTGGTATTACTAATGAGTAGTTGGTTGTGGTGCCTAACAACTCTCAGGAATTGTTTTGGCCATTACCTGGCAGCGCCACTTGTGTCGGGATTTATTTTGAATTAATTTAAATATATATTGTTTACTAAATTGCATTATCTATTTAAGCCGTTGCAGGCGCTAGGACATGTCCATGCTGCCTACAGAAATGAGGTTTATTAATCTGAGTAGTTGCAGAGAGCCAAACATTCATGCGGCATGCGATAGGGAGCCTTGGGCAAAGTCGTACGTGTTTGCAACCGCATGGATCCAGCAATCTGACTTTACTCCGCAAAGGCCTGTCATGCAACGCACTACCTTTGGGAGCACACGACGAGCACTCATTCCTTATAGTCTTATGGGACAAAAGCCGACCAATGAACAATGACAAGCATACGACAAACATGAGTGCACAGACAGACGGATTTAAACACAGCTCGTACTGATCAGGATGGCAAGATAACAAGGCGCCTGCAGCCAAGTTTGAGAGCCCCGGGCACGACGCCGCCCGCTGCTGGTCCCGGACGCGTGCGTACCTGCAGTGAATCAGGATAGGCCCGGCCCCGTCTCCGCTGTTGGCGGCGGCCGTCTTCCTCACGAAGCGGAGGATGGACAGGGGCTGGTCGGGCACACCCTCGGCCGGCCAGCCGGTGTAGTGGTACTCGTAGATGACCCGCCCGCCGCATACGGCTCTGCTTTTTTGCTGTGGCAGTGCCCGCCACGTTGGGAAGTGTGCGATATGTAATGCTCTGTTTGAGTACGGTAAACGTTCCGTCATTTCATCCCGATGCAATGTGCTAAGCATGAAGGTCAATAGGTAACTTACACTGTATGCAAGAATTTCATAGGGCGACACTACTCGCTGGTGTTAAGTTCATAGTTCATAGTTCAGATAAGTTCAAGTCAAGTTAAGTTAAGTTAAGTTCAAGTTCGTTGGTGTCATGGTTTCCGATGCACCTGAAGGAACGTACCTTGGCGTGCTTCATGACAAACTTCCGTACTGTATACGACGCCAGCCGCCGTGTTTGCAGGTGCTCCACTTCTATGAGACCGTACGCTTCCTTTCCGTCCAGGGGCCAATATTTATTGTACGTATTCTGTAAAAGGCGTATCATATCAAGTACGTACTACAAAGAATCAGCTCACTACGGTAAGCGAATTGAAGTTGGGCTTGACAAAAACATAACGGCCTCGCGCTTCACGATTTCTCTCTCCCAGCAACGTGACGGGGTCTTAAGACGAACCCGGTTTTGAGTCGCGAATGCTCACCACCTAAGAACACTTGAAACTGCTTGAGAACGTTTCAAGCATGCTTCGACATGATTTCAAAAGGCTTTGTGTTACGTTGTTTTCATTTCTAAGTTAAATTTCTCGAAGTCGTCCATTCTGCCCCCCCCCCCCCCGCAAAAGCTCATCACCCCAAATAGCGTGATATTAAGACATAAACCAGCACTCCTTGACATTTCAAGCACACTGTAATATCGATCAAAGTGAGAGTCACGAGGGCTGTGGCATGGTCGGCTAATGCTGCCGCAGACACACCTCTAAATCTACTCCTCTAAATCTACGGATCCTCTAAATTCCGCCCTTCGGATACAATATTTGATAAAACCATGGTTGAGGAGCAGAACTATAGCTTGCATCTGCGGCTTGCTCGGGTTTAATCCACCGGCCTCTTCATTCATGTCACTTCGGAGTCAGGTAGATCTAGTCTGTTGGCTCTACCGAACAAGCAGGGTCGATCAGGGTTGCAATACCCACGTGACATTACTGGGACTGGCATTGAGCCAAGAGCATGAAGACACCGAACTAGTCGGTTCTACCCACCTCAGCTGCTCATGTGCCTACTCGCAACTGCTACGTTACTTTTATGCGCTCCAACGGAGGTCATGCTGTTGTCTTATCTATCGAGGGTTATCTCTATCACAGGTTATGCTGGAGCAACTCCCGGACTGATGCGTACTGGTCCTGTACATAAGTCAGTACATGCTGACCATGACCTTCGCTTGGCGCGTACTGACCCTGTTTCGTTCCGCCTGGCTGGTGATCATGATGACGATCTGGACCCGCTGCTCCCAGATCAGGCGCCAGAAAGCCGCCAGCGAGCCAGTCAACGGTGTCCGGACGCCGATGTACTGGTTGCGGAAGAGGAAGCCGTCGATGTAGTTGGCGTCGATGTGCTCTCCCTGCCGCTGACCGGGCAGCGGACGCAGAGGCACCAGACTGTGGGCATCTGGTCAGAAGCACAACAGCGTAGTTGACTGGGCAGTGCACAGGTGCCCTGGTGTGGGCGAACCAAGAAGTTTGCGTGGTTCCTGTTGCGCAGATTGACCAATGGAACACGAATGATGGATGAATATTCTATTCCGTGCATCAGTGGAAATGAAATGTCGATGAACCCTTCAACGCACAGTATGCAATACATCCTAGCTTTATATATAGCGTGCGGAGCCACAGGTGTGCCAAGTGAACGCCGTTTGAGGCGCGGAAATCTGGCGTTGGAGAACACGAGAGCCCGGCGGTCCCTCCCCGCGAGCTGCTGCGACGAGCGGATGGGACGGTCTGCCTGCTGTCCTTCTGTCCGGCGTCCGGCTATCGCAAGCGCATCCACACCGGCCATGCGCATGTGTTGAGGCCGACCGCTGGCTGTGACTGCGCCCCTTGCCGCCGGTCCGCTTAAGCAGACGCCACAGAGATCCAATGGCGTGGGGGAAGGAGCTGGCGATGAAGAGGACGCCCCTCTTCCCTTCGCCCGGACCCGACTACCAGTCAGCTGGCGGTCGGGCGGCGCCACGTCGACAGAGGTCTTCAGTATGACCTTAGAGGTGGCACGACAGACTGCTCCTCGTCATCTTTCGGAGCCATCAAGCAGCCGGTGTCTTGCGCGAAGCGTTCCTTAAAGGCGCGCGGCGACCCACATGCATGGATTTTCATGCGGACGTTGCCGGGGGTAAAACCCGCTATGTCCAGTCCGGGCAGGCTCCCTTGACTGATGAGAAAGATACGGGTCTGACGCTAGGTGACCCCGGCTTGCAGCCGGGTCCGCCCGCGGGAAGGAGGACGACCTCGTCATCACTCCTTCTTTTCTCCCACGGGGACCGATCCTTGGAGCGTCTGCTCACATGAGCCCGTGATTAGACGCGTCGTCGCAGCCAGCGGCCCGCCTCAACACATGCACGTAGCTGGTGTACGGATCGACCAGCGAGAGCCGGCTGCCGGGCGGTAGGACAGAGGGTGCGCCGTCACAGTCGCCCGCCGCAGCGGCGCCGGTGTGTCGGCCGGTGTCGCCGCTGTCGGCGCCGGTGTGTCGGCCGGTGTCGCCAGTGTCGGCGCCGGTGTGTCGGCCGGTGTCGCCGCTGTCGGTGCCGGTGTGTCAGCCGGTGTCGCCGCTGTCGGCGCCGGTGTGTCGGCCGGTGTCGCCAGTGTCGGCGCCGGTGTGTCGGCCGGTGTCGCCGCTGTCGGCGCCGGTGTGTCGGCCGGTGTCGCCAGTGTCGGCGCCGGTGTGTCGGCCGGTGTCGCCGGTGTCGGCGCCGGTGTGTCGGCCAGTGTCGCCGGTGTCGGCGCCGGTGTGCGTCCTACGCCGCCAGGCGCCCGCGCCCCAGCCGGTGCCTGCACCGAACACTTGAGCTCCGTTACAAAACCTGCTACGGGGCGGTACGTGTGTAGTTAAACGCCAGTCTTGCAGAATGATTACGCGCACTCTACAGCATGATAAAGGAACAAGCATGCTTACATGCGTTGATGTCTTGACACCTGTTTTTCTCAGCAATTGTAGTCCACCCCAGCTGCATGCTGTGTTCCAGTATCTCTTCATGCTCCTTATAAAGACCTGTAGAGGCAAACGCAAAATGTGATTGCACTAGTGGTCATTTTCTATGTAATGAAGGCTTCCCTCTTGTAATAAAATTAACACTTTTCTATTTTCACCGCTACTGTCCCCTTCAACAAAACTGTTCAGTTTCCAACGGCGCATTCAGTGAACTGTCATCCCAAATATCTCGATCAATGCTGTTAATCTGCTGAATGAATCCATTCATCCTTGATCCACATGCTATTAGCCTTATCCGGTTTACTACAAAATTGTCCCGTCTATTAACGCCATCAACCCGTTTACTGCTTCATTCACGTGTCTTAATACTTGCACTGTTAACTGATCACAGTTGTGTCACCCGTGCGCTCTTCACAGCAAATGCCCTTCCAGGGAAAAAGGAGCCTGCGCTTCAGGATCCGTCCCTAAATACGGGTCACCGCGGACCAAACAAGCATTATATGAGCATTATCGCTGGAAATCCCGCCTCATGATCCATATACTGTCTTGAATGGACACGATAAATGGCACTGTTTTTCTGGAAGAAAAGAGGGACTCAGATTCTTTGATCTGGCAAAGATCCAAATGTGGCTTTGCTTTTCGCGACGACAATTGACTGCTCTTATTTCATTAACCCCTACCCTTGTCTCGTTTGGCAATACCCCTTTTCTGCTGACTGCACCCCTGCCCCGCTGTACCTTCATCTGAGTTGGCGTGCAGGTTAGCCACGTGTGCCGAGAAGGCGGCGGCCGGGACGGGTCCGGTGCCTCCGCCCGGCCCGCGCCGCTCCCAGTCGGCGGGGGACGTCACTGGCACACGGACCGCCGCCGGTCCGGCCGTGGAGCCCCGCGACCCCGCCACGTAACACCTGCCGGGTATAGCGGCTCATGTGTGGCTGGAGTGGCACGCTGTAGGCACACTGGCTTAGTTAATGTCAGCGTGCTGATGGGGCAGGTTTTTCAGGTCCAGATTAAACTGCAGTCAACGATCACACAAGGTTTGATGTGCTCCAAAATGCGGGAAAGCACACGCATCCCTTGCCAAATAGTCCGAAAGTGTATAACCTTACATCTGCATCCACGAAGGCCCCAGTTTGGAGGCTAACTGTGCCGGACAGCATCCCTCGCCTGTGTGCCGGTAGGCCCGCCTCACCTCCAGATGGCCAGCGCCGCCAGCGCCAGCAGGAAGGCACAGCAGGCGCACGCGATGCCGGCGATAAGGCCGGCGTTGAGCGGCGCGGCGCTGCCCAGGTGGCGCCACACGCTCCAGGTGGCGCCAGCGGCGCGGTCGCACTGGCGCCGGGCGCGGCCGGCCAGCGGCGCCGAGGGCGGCGACAGGAGCAGCGGCACCGAGCGGTGGAGGGAGCGGGCCGCCGCCCGCACGCGGACCTCGTACAGCGTGCCGGCCGTCAGGTTCGACAGCAGAAACTGAGGAGGAATGGTCAGAGTATGGGCTGGCCAGTGGAGACCGCAGGCATCGGTCACGAGAAACCGGAGACGGGCATTATCCTGGATGGAACTCAGGAGACTTTCTTGGAAGACACGCTACAGAACGTGCCACCTTTTTCTTTAAACTAGCTCGGCTCAGGATGGTTGGGGGGTCGTCGCTGCGGTCTCAGACGTCTCCTTTCCCTGGCATGGCTCGCTATCGATCGACGGATGATTGTTTGATGATGAGTCTCTCCCGAGGCGGACAAAAGATCGCAGTAAGCCACATACCTGCATGCGACAGATAATGTCCGTCAAAAGACAGAAACAAAATGTAAACAATGTGATAACTATGTAAATGACCTGTGTAAGCATTTTGTAAATAACCTGTGTAAGTATATTGTAAATGACCTGTGTAAGCAGTTTGTAAATGAAAACATACAAGATTGAAATATGTCATGTCGTCCTATTCTAGCCTAGCATGGGGATACCAAACCAAGACAAGCCATTCTCTGCTGATTTCTGTCAAGACCCACAGCGCGGCGCAGTGTCTGCAGTGTTCTCCCTCTCTCCATACCCACCTTTCCCTCCCGGCCGACCGGGTCGGCGGCGACCGGCACCTCCGTGACGGCTGCCGCCCGCTCGGCCCGGTAGCTGACCAGATAGTGGTGGACGCGGCCGCTGAAGATGAAGCTGGAGTTGGGGCTGGAGCTGAAGCTGGGGCTAGAGCTGGAGCCGGAGTTGGAGCTAGAGCTCGAGCTAAAGCTGGAGCTGGAGCGCTCCGGCGGCCGCCAGGTCAGCAGCAGTGCCGCGTCCGGTCGGCACGCGAGCGAGGTCAGCCGCGGTGCCGACGGCGCCGACACGTCGGTGGTGACCGCGAGCGCCGCCGACTCGCGGCCCTCCATGCTCCGCGTGAACGCCTTCACCGTCACCGAGTAGTTGGTGAACGGAACTGCCACAAGCGAGATGGGAAGTAGACTCTTACTATGGCTACAGCGACAGGACGAAGACCGGCTGGTGGATTGCTGGCCTGTTTTTTTTTTTGTTTTGTTTTTTTTTTTTGCTAGAGGAGTGTAATAAAAGCCGCATAAAATATGCATACCGCAGGCTGTTTGCAGTATCGCTGAGTGTTTCAGCTATCAATAGGCGACACACAGGACAGCACTGCGACGCTTGTCGCTGTACTGTTCACACAGTGCTTTGAAAAAATCACGATTGGTGATGTGGATGGGGTGGTAAAATGTTCATGCAGTTTAGTGCGATTTGCAAATGCAACGACATAAAGCCCAACGCTGCCGACAATTTATGCACAGCATCAAATAACGAAATGACAAGTGAAGACAGCCACCCATTAGCGTCCACTCCCTGCTTTAGATGAAAACCGACAATCCTAGAACGTTTGTCAGAATAAAAGCCATCAGTCATCCGGTAGCTTCCCACCGAGGTTCCTCAGCGTGTACTGCATATTGTCCACGGGCAGCCGGAGCCAAGTGGCGTTAGTGAAGTTGCCAGTGCTGATGTAGATCCTGTAGCCCTCGATGAGACCGTTGCGGCGGCTCGGCGGCAGCCAGGAGATGGTGACCGTGGTGTCGGTCACGTTCAGGACGGACACCTGCCGCGGAGCTTCAGGGACTGAAGCAAAGTCCCGAGGCGGGTCAACGTCCTCCGCAGGTCAAATGACGCCAAATTGCTGAAAACGGCTGGATCAGGACAGGTTATTCCACGTCTCACAGTAAGAATCTGCGGATCGTTTTTCGAAACCGTAGCAACCTTCAACTTTCTAGGTCTCCCTGGATTGTGTTTGAGTGGGCAGCAAAACAGATCCAACTATTTCAAGCTGTCTCGTAGATCTTGTCTTGTCGGCTACCAAGTCGCGATGGTTGTACCAGTGTGCTAAATCCAGGTAACTTTGATTGAAATGTCGTGGCATTGCATGACCTTTATTGTTATAGTAACATGTATGGCATCCAAACTGCTACTCCTTGCGCAATATGTGTGAATCAACATCGCAAGCGAAATTATTGGAAAGATTACTACATCGGATCTAAGCAGTGCCTAAGGGGTTGAGCCACATGCGTGTTCACATTACCTCCTTCGTCCGTAGTGACAACAACGGTAGAGCTGGGGCCCAGGCCAGCCGGGTTCTCCACTTGTACAGAGATGAGATACTGGGTGAACGGACGCAGGCCAAAGATGGTGTGGCTCTGGAAATGGCGGCAAAAAATGATCTGACCATTGGACATTGCACGCGTAAATCAGCTGATACCGCAGTAACGTGAGGACGTCTGTCGGTTACCTGGCGTTGGCCGAAGATCAAGTTGGACATGGGAAGATGTTTGATGGTTAGAATGGCAAGATGTTACGGTTATGTCTGATGAAGCGTGACTTTTGAAGTTATTTATAAATTTCGGTGACCGCATCTCGGTGGTGAGTTCAGTGCGCAAGTGACAAAAGCTACCCGTGCGTGTCGAAGATTGCCCACACAGGCGCGCCACCCGCATCGAGAGAGGAGACAGAGCCATGGCTCCATCCATCGCATCCCTCCTGGTGGCAGGGATGGTCATCTTATTTAAACGATTTAGACCTTCCTCGGTTTGGACCACGAAACACAAGTTTGCACACTCCAGACCATCGGTTGGAGAGTTAGGTGTCAGATTCCGGTGACACCTCCGCACCCATGGTAAAATTTTAGTTGCGCTTCTGTCCTCCCGTGGCACCAAGATACCTCCGCCGCAGTTGAAAACCCCCAAACCTCGCGTTAACGCGCTTAGACTCTGATTCCAGTATCCTGTTCAAAGCCCGGCCAGTCACTCTTTTTCTCACTGACTCCCCGCACGAGAAGTAAGGCACTTGGTTTTTCAGCTAGCGGGAACGCATCGTCTGTGACCCGGCATAAGCCACGCTGGCTCGTCCAAGGCCGCTCCGAGCCCGCCCACTTATTCGCAGCTGACAGGGAGACTTCCTTGAAGATAGGTCTATTGCGTTCACCCCACCCCTCGGCCTGCACTCGCCTGGATTCTCTCGTCCTTGATCCGAAGCTCTTTGGCGCTGTTTTTGGCCGCACCACGCTCACGGTAGGTGATGCGGTAGTACTGGAACTCGCCGCGCAGCTCCTGGCTCGACAATGGCCTCCAGCGGACGCGCACCGAGGTGGAGCTTGTGTTGTGCGCCGCCAGGATCGCTGGCTTACCGGACGGCGCTGCCAGTGAGCAGAGCCAACACATGTCCGTCAAGCGAGTTTGTCGCGGCTTGCGCGCGACGGCGTATTTTTTTTAAGAGGCGGAGGTTAGGCTGATCAGCGATGAAATCCTAGTCGTCAAATGCTGCATACTGATATAAAAGCGCCCGTTGTGCACTTTGAGTGACATCAGACGTCGCTGGCTTAGAAGCCGCGATCTACCGTTTTGCAGTCAGGCTGTTCCAAATCTCGATGACAGCCTTGAGTGCATCGCCTCTGGCCAGACCGCAGAGCGTGATCGCCGCCGGCAGCTGGTGGGAGCTCGGATCTCATCAGCTGCACAGCAACTATGCAAACAAAACAAAGTGGCGCGCAGCCTGAGGACGTGATTATGTTGAATGCGTTGTTTACGCCGAGCATGCAAATCGTGAGCCGTGCTGGCCTGGCATTTTCGTGTCTTCGGGATCTCCGACTGAAGAGAGCGCCAATGTTGTGAAATATAACGGAAACAATGCCAAAAAATAGGTTTGTTCGGATAAAGAAAAGGGTTGGATATTAACCTTGTGTTGATTAGAAATAGCTGGTAGCATGCAGCAACTTTTTGTTGGATGAAAACTTATTGCTTTAGCAGTTAATTAAAGTTCGTGAGAACAGCAGTCACGGGTTTGAGGCGCTCGCAGAAGCGGTAATGGTGTGCATCGAAATAGCTTGACTGGCACGGTATGTTTTGAACGTGACATGGGGGCCAAAACATATGAGACATTCTTTTAATAATTATAAAAGAGACTGAGGAGTCCATGGTGTAAAGTAGTTATCATTAGGGGAGAGTTATACCACCAAACGTTTTCGACAACAGAAAACTTGCGGAGCTAACCCGACAGAAATTGAAGCATGGGTACAAGGTGTTTAGCGTGCAAACGTGAGACGGGAAAACGCATAACCAAAAAACACGGAAAACATGAAACTATTGGGGTGTACTACACCTGTCAGAGATCAGCAGCAAGCAATGCCGGATGATAATCACTTTCCTCTCTGTCGGGTCCAACGGAGTCTCACCCGCTGTAGCTATGCAGGTTACAGCTTGGGAGCGCGCCACACTGACATATTAACGGAACATAGTGACAGGCATGGGCAACAAGAATGCCATTGACGCCCATATGAGCAGCACCCAGGGTAGTCCGGGTCAGTGTAGTCAGGGTCAATACGGGGGCCCCTATGGTCACTACTGGTGGCAATACTGCATCAATACTGGAGCCGGCATAGGTGCTGTGGATTAGTGACCGTCAAAGCTGGCCAAATTCAGCCTGAGACCAGGGGACGCTAAATTATTTCAATAAGTTTAGTTTGACAACCTTTTTACTCGAATAATGTTGGGGTCCCGAAAGAACATCCACACACGAATGAAGCGAGAACAGTTCAACGACTGGGTACTGTGTTTTTACGGTAACGAACGGTAACGGTAACCGTAACGAAATTCGCAACACGAGATATATGGAACTGGTGTGGAAACGGTAGGGTGCCTTTACACATGGAACTTAAACAAGAAAATTATTACTTTAGACATGGGAGATCCGGGAGCCCCACCAGAGCTTCAAGCGACTTGTTTGGTAGTAGTGGGTCGCTGATGGGTTTCAAGCAGTTAACATGCGCATATGGCATAAACGGTATATTGTTGGATTTCTCGGGACTTCATGATGGTTTACCGGGCTCGTGCTGGGATGGAGAAGCTGGCAGCACCTATTATTCATCCAACTATTTCGTTCATTTTGCTACGGTCTGAAGGGCCAAAATACGCATGCATCATACTTGTTGCTTACAAATTACAGAAGCATGAACACATACAGAAAGACAACTGGGGAAAACGATACGGCAATAATATTTGCCGGCATGATGCTTGCTGGGCTTGCCTTGCCTATTTGAAACTACATCAAGTTCATTATACAGAGCACTACATTATAAGACAATGACATGTCGCAGGACCCCAGAAAATAACATGGACCCATGTCACAAACAGGGTTCTGCGTCACATGAGTATTGCAAAAAGTAGTGATTGTGTGCACTGCAATACTGCTAGGAAGACCATGGAGCAATCAGAAAAGAATATTATGAGGAGCGTGATTGAATTCAACGAGTCGACAGTGATGCTGGGAACATTTAAAAATCAATTGAGAATTCGCATGGCTGCGTATTCCAAAAGCTTAATCAGAGGGGGGTAGATTTACATCTCAATCGTGTTATCTCTGCTTGTAAAGGACGGAAGACATGTGGGAATGTTGATCGCGACACGTAATAGATCCAGTATGAGAGGAAATGGGTAAATCTGGGACGGAAATGTGGTGTCTGAGATGGCTGTTGAGGCTTTTTTTGTAACATGTTAACAAAATGATGTAAAGCGAGCGGGTTAAATCATTGCAGCTTATTCCCTTTGAACTCGATTACCGAAGCGCCCATTTGTGAGGATTTTGTAACATATGTGTTTGTAGTTGTCCAATGTATGCATTATGCGCCACATGTAAAGTAAATGACACAAAGCTTTTTGAAGAAAGCATGCAGTTAAAAGAACTTTGAATATGACAATGAATCATGTTAGGGGAATTGCCTTAACACAACTTGGCCGAACTCGAGAAAAGCATTGAGAGAAAAGCAGCGTGAACGAAACGACGTCATTGATAACTAGAGCCGCCGAACGCGAAACCATTCCGATTGGACAGATGCTTCTACCACCACAATTGAATATCACCAGCTTCTCCTTCCCACACGTGGCGCACTGATAGCACGCTGTATGTACAGCGTATGCAATGGCCATCGCATTAGATAAGCTCTGGACGGACCGGCTGGTAGAACGGGTCGTGACCCCAGCTTCACCCTGTCCGGCGCCGCGACTGGTGGGGAAGAGAGGGGGGGGGGGGGGGCGGATGAGCCGGACGGCGCACCGGGGGCGGAATGGCGACTAGATGGTCGGTGCCGGACCGTAACACTACATATGCAGCAGTGGCGGCGCCCGGCAATCAGAGCCGGCGCCGGCCGGACCAGCAGCCGACGATCGGCCGGACCAGCAGCCGACGATCGGCCAGACCAGCAGCCGACGGTCGGCCGGACCAGCAGCCGACGGTCGGCCGGACCAGCAGCCGACGCAGCCCACGATCGGCCGGACCAGCAGCCGACGGTCGGCCGGACCAGCAGCCGACGCAGCCGACGATCGGCCGGACCAGCAGCCGACGATGCGCACGGGCAGGAGTGTGCGGGAGTGACACGGGGAATGACAGGCGGCCGTTATGACCGGGAGTCTGCGGGAGTGACACAGGAGGAGCGATATAGTAGGAGTTGACGGGCGGCGGCCACGGCTGGGAGTCTGTGGGAGTGACAGGGGAGGACGACAGACGTCCGCTAGGGCGAGGAACCTGCTAGGGTGACTATAACAACAAAGCCTACCTAGTTAAAGAAGTGCGGTCGCTTGAAAGTCCATGACCACGAGTAGCTCCTGTGACGTTAGGTGGAAACAGACCGGTGTCTACACAAAACAAGAACGGACAGAACAAGACGTAACGACACGGCTCGAAGCGTAGCGTTTTTGTTCAGGCATGCTACGTAAGCGCAGCAATGGCAGGTTGCATCGCGGGTGCACTTAGACCGTCGACGGCAGCAGCCAAGGATTTACAGTCAGGCATAGAGGCGTCGCTGGATTTTCCAGATAGTAACAGCTTGTCCGCTGACCGGTTGGAATTGGTTTATTGTGTTGTAGGCGCTGGATCTAGCAGATAGGACGCCTTGCCGCCTTCCTGGACAATCACCTTCCAACACGGACGGCGACCCCTAACCAAAACCAATCATTGAGGATCCATGAACAACGCTGGAGACACGTGTCCCCCGAAATATGAAAGTAACTTCGGCCCTCGGCAGGCTGCTTAAGGGCGCCAAAGGCACGCCTTTATGGCGACCATGGGCAGCGGCAAGTATTTTTGGTTGTGGGGAACGGGGACAGAGCCAGTGATGAAGGATTTCGGTCATAACCGTGCTCCGGAGTTTTTCAGTTTAACTTCTCAGGCCTTTGCGTGTCCTCCGGCCGTGGGTGTGTAGAATTTCAAACGTCGTTTATCCGCTCAGCTGTTACGTGTTATGTGGTGGCGAAAGCAAACACGACTTTATGCTACGAGTATACGGGGTGTTGTAGTGTTAGCATGTGCATTGCTTTATGCAAACATATATGTTACGTTTCTGTAGGGCGGTAAACGTCCGGCCACATTGACGGATCCAGTCACGGGTTTTGGGAGCCAAGGCATTTGGCAAAATTACACAATTTACCCCAATTTCATTTTTGTCCGTTGATTTAGGTCGCACTGCCTGTAGCATAAAATACCGCTCTGTTTACATTATGGTTTTTGTGTGAATCGAGAGCGGTACACAAACAGTGCGTCTCAATTTAGCGTCACACCTTATTTTTCATGTCAGCTACGTCATGGATTAAAAACCGTAATAAACAACATAATCCTGATCAACAGTGCTCAAACATACTCAACTGGGTTTAACAACTCTTGACGTACAGTTCACATTGACCAACAGCTGTGTGGGATGGTTGTAAGCCCAACGGTGAGGATGACTTTGTTGTAACAGTGTGGCAGAAAAGGCATGTGCTATTGACGGAGCCACCAAACGCATGCTTATTACTGAATCATTGAGTTGCCAGAGGTGCACGTAAACCTCCGTTGGATGGATGCATGCCATAGCACGTAAACCATTTCAATTTCATGAGAGCTATTTCCTCATCAGCATAGCAACGTGATAGATGGACAGCCCACAAAACAAGTCTAATTTGATTGCTTTATATTACTCATCACATTGGCTTCATTATCTGCTGTGCATTTTTGGCTTCATTATCTACATGGCTTACATGGCTTCATTATCTGCTGCACGCAATGATGCAGCTCAAACCTGCGATCCGGGCAACCTGAAAGTCTGAGTCCATCCTGAACTGATGCATTCCCTGAAATGGTGGGAGGTCGCGGCCACATTTGTAATGTGGCGAAACGCGTATTGGTAGGTTCGCCTTCCAGATTCAGTTGTTCATATATGACTTGCCAAACGAGGGCCAGTGAGCTTTAGCCGTGGGCTTCACAACGTCAGCCTGGTTACAGAGCAGCCCATAGTCATGTGGTCCCATGACAAGGCAAAGGTTTTTTAGGCGTTTGGATTACGGACCGAGGCAAAATGGATCTGTTGAACATGCATTACAATAGTAGGATTGTGGGTGAAAAGTGCTATCAGCTATGTTTTCCACGGAATCAGAAAAAAATTGCCCCAGGATTTTTTGTTTTGTTTTTCTGTACGGTTTTTCAGTTTGTAACTGAACTGGAGCCATAATCTGAACTATCGATGCCATGCCAAAATCCAAATTTGCCACCCAATTTTATTGTTTTATGAGATCTTATAACAAAGAACCAGTGGCGTCAATATCATGCTTAGTTCCAAGACAGAGGCGTCTTGGCTTATATCTGACGCACTTAAAATCTATTTCTAACGTAATTTACCCAATGTCTTAAGTTACCCATTAGTAAGGGACATAGCTCTGAGGTTGAGGTATTAAACCAACCTTTGGACCCAACTCAACGTAGGGGGGGGGGGGGGCAGGGCCCAAACAAAAGAATATACGTTGTCACCCGTTGTCCAAAGCTTCTCCGGCATTGTTTGCCAACGGGCACATCGCAAAAAACTAGTGTGCGGCGTATCTGTAGATTACGTAATCTTTGTTTGCACATGACGTAGCTCTTAGCTCAAGATGCGGACGAAGATTAAGTGCATGCAAGGATTTTAAAGGACAGAATGGTGTATAGAAGTCGACACAGTTGACAACTACTGCATCACAGTGTCCAATAGAACCGACACGAGTAGATGCATAACCTAGCTACAACGGATCGGGTGAGTGTCGTAAGACCTGCTCACATCTAATGCGCGTACCTCATGCGAGAAGGTTTAGCTCATCTTCCGGTCGGTGGCCAATAGGCTGAATTTCTGCTATTGCGGCAGGAGCAGGATCAGGCGCAGCTCCCGAAAACATAATTCACATGCTTGGCAATCCCATGTTTCGACAGCGTGCCCTACTGCTAGCAAAGGCCCATGGAGCCGTGCCCAAGTCTTTTAGTCGGGAGATCGTGGCTCGGACCATGCTGCGCGCGCTAAGAGCGGACGCCCCATTGGGATGTTGGCAGTACAGTGGTAGACGGGGAAGTCAGCGCGGGTGGTCACTCGTTCGCAGGTGGTTCCCACGGCTCCGGTGTTGCTGCTGTGACCAGGTCTTTCCCCAGACGCGGAACCGCCTGAGGTACAGGTCCGGGTTTCTCCGTCCATCTAGGACCGCTCTTTGTGTCAGCGTCTCTGTCCATTTTGTGTCAAGCTCCTCGTCCGTTCAGTGCTCTACGCCAATCACCTTGTCGGTCATGTGTTCTGCATCAATCTCCCCGTCCGCCCAACGCTCTATGCCAATCACCCTGTCGGTCCTGTGTTGTGCGCTGATCTCCTCGTCCGTCCATTAACCTCGACTTCATGATAAACTTTTTCTGACCTGGTTTCGATCCGTGGCTTGTCAAATACTTCAGCTTGGTCCTAAAGAAGGAAACTGTAGGCACTCGCACACCAGTCATTTTGAGACCATTTTTCAGATGCAGATCCGTGAAGCCTGTTCCAAGCAGTGACCCACAACTTGCAATCATGTGTCATAAAATGGATCATTTTCGACCCGACTGACATACCTGGCTTTCTCGATCCGGCCAAGATGCGACAATCGCTTCTCCTCCTTAGCACTGCAGACATCTCCAAGCACTCCGTCGTCATTACCCTCTACCCTGCACTTTGACGCTCTGGGGCAGGAGAAGACGATTCTGTTCATATGGGTTTCAGCATGCTAACAACAGTCTGTCATGGCGCGATGCCGGCATGGCGGGAGGCGGCCCCTCCCCCCCCCCCCCCCCCCCCCCCGGAGGTCTTGGTGTCGTGGCCGGCCTTACCTTCCCTCAGCGTGATGATGGGGTAGGAGGCGGTGCCATTCGGCGAGGCGCCGATGCCGTTGACTGCCGTCACCTTGAAGCTGTAGGCGGTGAACGGCAGCAGGTCGGTCACCACGAACGTCGTCTGGTCGTCTGGCGTGGTGATGGGCTGGTCACCCCACTCGCCGTGCTCGCCAGTCCTGCCAACGGTCCATGCGACTCGCACGTGATCCGAAAAAAACAGAGAAGCCACCGGAAGTTGCACTGCGCAATTCACACTCTGCTGTATGACACTTGCCTGGATCAAGCAAGCCCCCGAGATATCATCAGTGACTTGTGGGTATTGAAAGACAGATATTTAGGTTTTCGGTATGGTTGATGAATACCTTGACACAGGCAACGAAAGGTCTTCAAAAATAATTCGCTCTGTAGAATCCGCCATCTACCTTGATCACCCACCACCCAACAATCTAGGGAGGTGGAAAACCTAAAAACACTGAATTACCAGGATGTGTGGAAGCTGCAGAACACTTTCTCTGGACAAAACGGGCATCCCTAGATCAATGCTGTCTTGCATTGTTTTGCTCGAGTTTGGCACATATGATATGAGATGTAGATATGACACCCTTAGTGTCACACTAGAACATATACAGTTATACTATTTACGAATGCATCTCATGTACGTTTTAGAGTCTTAAGATACGTTAAATAACGTAAAAACCTGGTCGACTGACGAAATAGGGGCTTTGTTCAATCTGTTGTCAGCACAATTGTCAGCTGAAATGCGTGACGTCATGCGTGCTGATGGGGCGTTCGACGTCAGAGCCGGCCGGAAAACTTTTATGTTACCTTTTTCCTTTACCCTTTAACTACTTTAGACCACACACTAATACTGGCATACGGTCAACCATGACACACTGCCTATGACGTGGCGAATGGAAGCGTACTTACACTGGCATTGGTGTCTATCTTACCCGTTAAGTTGATTGCCTCTTTTCACACCCATCTCATTTAGATTTATTTCCGTTTCATTTGAACTGTTTGGTGACCGGCCTAGTCGATGTTGGTCTTACTTGGCGAATACTTCAGACCCGACCCTCGCCGAATCTAGCTGCGCGGCATTTCAAAACATCTGATTATCCTCACCGGAACGGGTGGGGTAGGATTTACGAAAACCCTTCCCGACCCTCGCTGCGGCAGGTCCGCTCAGTTAGCCACGCGCGAGCTGGGCGGATGGGTTTGCATGCGTTGGTCAAATATTCGGAAATGCATGACCTCGCCTGAGGTGAAACACGTAGCATAGCTCATTTCAACAAACAACATAGAGACCATCCTCTGGAAGTTTCCTCAACAAACAGGATCATCACGTGTGCGTGATTATCGTGCTAAAAAGACTGAAATTATTTCAGTGTTTGATGGTTTGATGCGTTATAGCTTTTCATCAGATGGCATTGGTCTGAAACTATACTGATGTGGCTGAACAGCTGTGCGGCATTTTCAAGATTGCTAGCTTAAATGGAATGCTCCACATTTCAAGATATTGAAACAAGCATCAGGTATGATGAAATAAACTCACTTTTAACTATTGGTGTACTTTTAGCCCGCGCTCGGGTGGTGGGCCAAATTGACCCCCGAAGACTTTTCCAGAATGGTTTCCGGACGGCGCGGCGTAGCGGCGTCAAATTTCCATACCTGTAGACAGTTGAATAGCAGATCGTTTGCCACCCAAAATGTAGATGTACCTTGTAAGGTCACTGACCTATGGCAGGTCAAAGTCGGTCCATGGTTTCAGCAAAGTCAATTTCTGGGGAATTGTTCATTCTGATGCAATAACGGGGTGTTAGACGAAGCCACACATCTCTGAGATGCTTTCTTAGCCAACACAAACATTGAATGAGCAAATTACGTTGACCTAAGGTCAGGTATGAAGGTAAAACCAAGGTCAAAACCAACCTGCTTTATTGCTCTAGGGCTCGCTGTATGGGATAGTTGCTAGACCTCATTTCGAATTTACTGATCACTTCATATTATACAATAGTGTAATATAATGATGTTATAATATTATAATATAATGATAATCTCACTATTGTTATTATTATTGTATATCAACATTACTGTATATCGTAAGATATATACATATATATATATATATATATATATATATATATATATATATATATATATATATACAACAATACTGAACAAGGTCACTGACCTTGCATGAGCATGTGACCGTTTGCTTAGAAACAGTGATCTAGGCTCTAGGGGCACTATGGAGACTAACCTGAAATTTGACCTTATTTGAACTTATTTGACCCGAAGGTCATGACCTAGGAAACTCAAGCCTTGACCTAAGTGAATTCACGTACAGGTCAACACACCCTGTGAATTTCGTATCTCTAGATTTGTTATTTCCCGAGATCTCAGCGGGGCCAAAATGACCCCCCCCGCACCCGAGCGAAGGTTATCCAGCAGGCCACCCGGGCGCGTGTTAAATGGAAAAGACCGCTCTGCGTAACATAGTTTCTCTGCTTAGTAAATATGCTTATCAATACGTCATTGTATGATTACGTTATCGTAGCTTGCATAAAATTGACTGAGAGCTTACTGACGGCCGCTATATCAGGGAATCGTGCTCACGAACGTCAGATATCAACGACGCGACAATTATGTTCATTTTAACCTTATTGGCGCATGTTAATTGAATGGCATGATTTTAATGACGATATTATGGCGTCATGAATGCATAGATGACCTTAAAATAGCCTCCCCAAAAATTATGCACATCGTCGTGAGCGTATAGCTTAGAAACTAGAGGGGTTTAGGTCTTAGGAAGGCAGGGGTGTGAAATGCGGCGAATGATCTTCAAGATGACTATTCCAGTCCAAAATCCCATGCAAACGTGGAACACTCCCTTTAAAGAGCAACACTTGGAATCATACCTATATGACTAACTTAATGCCATTGGTTACATTTCTCAAACATCAAGAACAAGCCAAGAATCACAATGTGCTTTCGGCCTTAGGCCATCGAAGGGTTGTAAGCTTTTTTCCTTTCTTCCAAACACATTTTAAAATGCGTGCAAAGCTGCATTCGCCTCAGCAATGCTTGCCACTGTCGTTTAGGAGATATTTCATAGCAAGCGTTTTCCGATGATTTAACATGGAGACGCCCTCTACATTGGAACCGGTCCGAAAACCAGCTGAATCTCAGACATTAGCCATTTCATCTATTAACGTTTGGACTGATTACAATGCGTACGTTGTTTCCACATTATATTTTGGAACGATGTTTGCTATGACATGCTATCTTCCGGAAGACAGTGATATGCAATGATGAGGCGAGTATAGGTTTGCGTGCATTTGAAAATGTGTCTGGAGGAGGGGAAAAATGTTACAAAACGTAGATGGCCTGAAGCGCAAAGAACAGCGTACGTTTTGGCTTGACGAAACCCTGAAAACTGAAACCACTGTTAACGATTACCCAGGCGAAATCATGGCTTTGTTCACTACAATATGTTGTGCGTTACATGCATAAAACGTGCATGCTGCTTACAGCGGAAGTGTCTTACCTGGTATAAATAATGTAGTATCGAATGGGGCTGTTGTTTTGCCTGATGCCGGGAGTCCAGGACAGGAACACCGAGCGGGACGTAAAGTTGGTGATCAGGGGTCGTCCGGGCGCCGACGGGACATCTGACGGCGGTATTATATTGTTGCTGTTAAGCTTATTTTAGTTTGCCGCCAACAGAGCAGGGCTCCACTAACAGGTGAAGTCTTTAGTGACTTTGCCTGTTTAACGATAAAGCAAGGTCCCGTGCCTTCGTCACCGACTAACAATGCCATTATTGTATTGTATTACTTCCATAGGGCCATCCACAATGGAACGTGGCTGTAACATCCCAGTGTCAAAATTACAGGCGATGAGAACATGCAGGTAAAGACAAGAATAACACACAGGCACCCATTCACCACCTGCCTGCAACATTCGCGTTAAAAGGGGTGCGCTCTAACCGCGCGCGCGAAACGCTGCTGTGTTGGTTGTGTGATGTCGGCAGGCAGCCCATTATACAGTGTCAGTTGTGTGACGTCGGCTGGCAGCGCGTTATACAATGCTGGCGTGTGGTGCCCAAAACGTCTCCTACCGGCCTCGATTCTGGGCCTAAGGAGGTGTAGGAGTCTGTCCTACCGGCCGGGTCGCACACGCGTGTCGCGATTTAACACAAACATAGCCCTCAGCACATCAGCCTCGCCGTGTAGGATCACCTTCTGAGCCAGGGCGACCATTGGAAGCCATGTCACGTGTCGAGGCCACAGCCTCGCCATGTAGGATCACCTTATGAGCCAGGGCGACCATTGGAAGCCATGTCACGTGTCGACGCCACAGCCTCGCCATGTAGGATCACCTTGTGAGCCAGGGCGACCATTGGAAGCCATGTCACGTGTCGAGGCCACATCCTTCGAAGTGTCTCACGCAGGTCAGACACATGGTCAAATCTACGTCGGCAAAAATCACTGACTTCAAAGTTCAGGATCCTTTGGATTCCATTAACGATGTTTTCTGTGTGTCATTGCCATAAGCCGTGAGAAAGTATCTGACCTGCGTGAGCACCAACGCCGTCACCAGAGCTTTGTCGAGGTCACGTCGTCAAACGACGTCGACGTTGCGTTTGGCGGTGTCACGTGTTGCGCGAAATAGTCTATTGCGAGCTTAAGTATTGTCAACCTTAAATAGGGGCTTTCTTATTGGGCAAGCGTTTCATGGGTGCAGTTAATCGGCTGCTTGGTCCATGGTCCATTCCAGTGAAAAATATTTGGATCTGCTACATCTCACTTCAAATTATATTTCTCATCCAGTGTGGTAAAGATCGATATAAAAAGCCGTTGCAAACATGACATTGTGTTTTATCGTTTTGATCCCACAAAATCAGCACGCTTTGTGTGTCAAAACTTCCAAATAAATCCATGTACCTTGATCCAGAGTGATCCCTAGAGAGCACCATGAGATCATCTCTGCCCAGGGACGCACGTGATCATTACACAATTTTTTTATATCTGTCTTAGATGAGATTTTATCAACAGTTGCAAGCCAATTCTGAGGTACAAGAGATCGTATAACAGGAAGAAATGTTACATTCAGCCTTATCCAAAAGTTGGGACCACCATCCGAAATATAGGTAATGTGATTACATACTGAAATCCAGGCATACGTTTGGATTGAATGAACCTCATGCAGTCAGATGGTCAGTACCATATTTGGCCAGTGTGTTAATAGAAACCGTGAGCTTTCAAAACCATACGTTTGCAGGCCATGTATACAGCAAATCTTAAATTTGATGGACATAGCCATCTAATATATATATATATATATATATATATATATATATATATATATATGCTTCAGATGCCTTCGTGACCCTGAGACACCGCAAAATGTACGCCCACTGATCATTGATTGTATGAAGGCAGTGGTAAACGCAGCGGATGCAAACACAGCCTCTGCATTGCGTACAAATCCCATCAAATGTGCAAGCAATCCGAGCTCCTGTTTCGCCGCGGTGTTACTTCGATGATATTGATAGGTGTGGAACATTGATGGACGCTAGATGTTGCCGCGGAAACGATCATGATCTCTGTAGCGCACGGAGCACGCCCAGCGGAACCGATCCACAGCCGACCCAGTCAGTAACTTGCCCTGGACGACGAGCTTGATGTGTCGGTCGTCGGTGCCGCGCCCGTTGACGCGGCACAGGTACTCGCCGCTGTCGGTGACCTCGACCGCGTCATACCGGAGCGAGAGCGTGTCGGGCAGCAGGCGGACGCGGTCGTAGTTGTGGAAGACGACGGTCGCACCGTTTGCGTACTCCAGCAGCTTCGTCTCGATCGCCGCATCTACTGACACGATGGTGCGCTCCGTGCAGCCGTAGCAGAGCCAGGTCACGTCGGTGACCTGGGTCGGGTCAAGGTCGGTCATGCCGTCGCAGGGTAGCGTCACACTCGCTTGAGACCTTGAGAGAACTGTGTTGCTTTGGCTGCAGCAGCCTGAGGGTAGAGGACAAAGCGATCTGTTACAATGTGATTTTAAGTGTGCTGCAGTGAAAAAACAGGTCTCCACAAATCATCCTTTCAGTTTTTGTGACTGAGTGGTAGCGGGTAATCAACATGTAATTACATGTGCACTTAAGATGCATAGGCACTCATGCCGTGAAAAAAACTGTATATCCCAGAGCACCTTCTGTCCGCTTGTGTGTGTGTGTGAGTGTGTGTGTGTGTGTGTGTGTGTGTGTGTGTGTGTGTGTGTGTGTGTGTGTGTGTGTGTGTGTGTGTGTGTGTGTGTGTGTGTGTGTGTGTGTGTGTGTGTGTGTGTGTGTGTGTGTGTGTGTGCGTGTGTGTGTGCGATCTGCGCTTGTTTGCTGTAGGTGCGCGCTCCGTTTTACGTTGACTTAAGCCTGAAGTATGCAGGCTAATTGTTTCTTAAGAGATCATTTCAATTTACTCAACGATAGCAAAAACCCATAAAGCCTCCAAAGAAACTGCTTTGATGTAAGAGGGTTGAAGGCTATTTATATGAATTGCTAGTTCGCAATTCGTACAATGTGAGAGCCGTCATGCAGAAGTATCTTAGTCCATAAAGGTTGCGTGGTCAGCCCAATTTGACTTAGTGAAATCGATGGTCCTGCACTTTTTGAAATGTTGTGGACTTATTCAGTGACTATCAGGTTTCTGGCAAGCTCGAATTCCTCCCAACATAGGTAGCTCCCACTGTGTAAGTCAGTGTCAGTAAGTGTTCTGCGTGTTCACAGTGTTACCAAATCAGTAAGTGTTCTGCTTGAACAAGGAACCACTTGAAGTACTGAAGACTGCATATTTCGAGCTTTCTAACGAGACGCTTGCTGGACACCATTTACTTGACAGAAAGCAGGGGCCTGGCGGGTCCATTGGTTGGTACCTGCCGTTGCAGATTCAGGGTAGTATTTGCTGGAGCTTACTTCCAGGAGACTATCAACGATGCCTTCACCTGGCTCGTCAGGCCTCTGACCCACTAGCGACTCCTGCAGGATCAAATCTCACCCGGGATGAAGCGATGAGACAAGCCGTTAGTTCTGACCCGACACTGCGCGGGGCGGACATATATATATATATATATATATATATATATATATATATATATATATATATATATGTCCCCGCCAACTGGGAGACAGTCCGCTGCCGCTGTTGCGACACCAGCCACGGGTAGCTGCAGCCAGCAAGGCCCTGCGCCTTCCTTTGCTGAGCGTGTCACGGGGTGGTAGCAGTTGCTAAATTCATGTCTTCCTTCTGTGGTCAGCCAGATTGCCTCAGATAAGATTTCGCTTTTGGAAAGCCGTTCATCTGTTGCCTTATTGCCTCCACCTTCTCAGATACCTAGTTAGTTGATATTTTCACCAACATGTGAATTAAACGCTGTGATCCAAGCCTTCAGACTTGTCCTTAAAACACAGCATGAGGAGTTCGAAACATGCAGTAGGCCAACGCCAGGTTAAGAAAACAACTGAAGTTTTCCGTATCACGGCACTAGCAGCTGGTACTGCGTCAGGATCGGTGGTACTGGTACAGTGCCTGAGATGGAAACGCCAGAGCTTTGTCGTAATTGTCGTTGCTTGCCGCGGTTGGCCTCCATTGAATGCATGGAAGCCGTTATTGATCCAGGCATCAGCGGAGCTTTATTGGCTCTACTGACTAGACCGTTTCCAGTCTATATAGTATGGTGCTGTTGCGTTGCCTGAAGTTACCACATTTTTAAGAGAAATTGCTAAGTTATTGCATTGACTTAGTCGTAAGTGAGGCACGTCCCCTTGGCCACTCACAGGAATTCATCCCGGCCAGACAACCGTTCGGCTAATCCTTGATCCTGATACGTCTGGTATTGACCGGTTAGAGCCTGGCGCTGTTTGTCCTGTCTGTAGTGAGGGCGAGTTGTTAGGGTCCGCTGACAAACCGCCGTCACCGTCGCCGGGACGTGTCGGTTTGTCCTGTCTGTAGTGGGGGCGAGTTGCCAGGGTCCGCTGACAAACCGCCGTCACTGTCGCCGGGACGTGTCGGTTTGTCCTGTCTGTAGTGGGGGCGAGTTGTCAGGGTCCGCTGACAAACCGCCGTCACCGTCGCCGGGACGTGTCGGTTTGTCCTGTCTTTAGTGGGGGCGAGTTGTCAGGGTCCGCTGACAAACCGCCGTCACCGTCGCCGGGGCGTGTCGGTTTGTCCTGTCTGTAGTGGGGGCGAGTTGTCAGGGTCCGCTGACAAACCGCCGTCACCGTCGCCGGGACGTGTCGGTTTGTCCTGTCTGTAGTGGGGGCGAGTTGTCAGGGTCCGCTGACAAATCGCCGTCACCGTCCCCGGGACGTGTCGGTTTGCCCTGTCTGTAGTGGGGGCGAGTTGTCAGGGTCCGCTGACAAACCGCCGTCACCGTCGCCGGGGCGTGTCGGTTTGTCCTGTCTTTAGTGGGGGCGAGTTGTCAGGGTCCGCTGATAAACCGCCGTCACCGTCGCCGGGACGTGTCGGTTTGTCCTGTCTGTAGTGGGGGCGAGTTGTCAGGGTCCGCTGACAAACCGCCGTCCCTGTCGCCGGGATGAGCCAGGCTGTGCTTGCTGGATAGCAGGTACCTGCTAAACTCATCTGGATGGTGGCGAATGACGGCTTAATACGATGCAATAAAGCCATGATCGGTTGTGTGTACAAAATTTATAACAGCATATTCTGTAAAGCAGAACAACGAAAACAATTAACAAAATATCTAAGTAAAGAATAGCAAAAACGTGCTTGTTTTTCATACAGCTCTAAACTGGCCAAATTTGAAGGCGTACCACCGCATACCACTGAAGAGCGTGTGAGATAACACTAAAACCACGGGCTTTATATACACAGCCGGTATCACAGCAGCTCTCACCGGGGGCTCCTTATTTGCGTAACCAGCAAGCTTTCTCCCCAAAGTCTTAAAGGGATTTGGTAGCACAGATACGGATGCAGGCACACAGTATCTCAGCCATTGGTGGGGAGATGGGCGTGACAGGTGTGGCAGAAGCCACGGCAACTCTCATTGTGAGTTTTGATAGCATGGCTTTTGCATTGACAAATCCATTTCGTCGCTTTTGTCACGATAGTTTCTTAAATTTTCAGAGTCCAGTCCTGTAGTCGCATAAGTTTAGTTTAGTGCCCCGGTTGTCATTAGTCACCTTCTTGATCCTTGCTTTTACCTGCGTATTTTTATCATAGTTAATATATATAGTTTCATAGTTTATCTGTTTGCTAATACTCATGTCAGCAAATTGACCATGAGGAATCAATAACCATTCGAGACATAGTCATGATGACTCATCTTGTAAAAGTAGTTGTAAGCGGTTAATGTTTTGTTAAAGGGTTCCGCAAAAGATATAAGAGTAACATGAGTAACCTACCTTGAGTAAGCAGTAATATGGACGAACATATTCTGAAACTCAAACTTTTTCTTACATCTTGTTTTCAAAATTCTCGTTTCAGCAATGCATCATCTTTGAACAGGCATTTGAAAAAAAACGACAGCTTGACATGTCCACACGGTAAAACATTAAATAGTGTAATGACTGCATTATCATGTCCGGCAGCCTTCCCCGAAAATACCAAAGATGGGTCACACGCTATTTCATTCGTTTCGTTGACTTCAAAAGATGGCTCACATTTCACTTCAGTCGCTGGGCCGGACGCGGCTACCTACGCCCCACAGATGACCGGTGCTCGGCTGGCCCGGGCTCAGCGTCCGCCGCCCACGGACCTGAGGTCGGGTCAGCTCGGTGCCTGACGCGGCCGTGGGGGCCTGACAGTGCCGAGCCGGGGCTTCACGGCGCCACGCCGCTCAGATTTCCACCCCGTGCCAGCCGGAACCGCCCGCTGCCGAGGCGCCGCACGGCGGGAATCGTTGGGCCGAGCGGCGCGCGGTGATGGTGTTTCGACCAGCGGATGATGGATGCCCGCCCGCCGTGGGAGCCGTCCAGAAGCCGTGCTGAGCGCGTCTGATCGATGACGACTGCCGCCAGAAGCGGGGAGGATTGGCCCTTAGGCAACAGACAACCTGCGCCTAATCACTTCCCGGGTGGCAGTGTAGATGCGGGAGTTGTCACGGGTGGCAGTATAGATGCAGGGTTTGTCAAAGCCCATCACGAGGCCATCCCAGCGTTTTCGACCGCAAAGTGCCTCTCCCAACAGCCGGCACAATAAAGCAGCCAATTAGATCAGAAATACTACATGATGGACATTTTCAAATGCCCAAGGAAGCTCGTTTTGACCAGGAAAGCCTGTTTGAATCAAGATGCATCTTTTCCGGTTAAAAACCTGGTATCCGCCACACGACCATTCTTTGATCCTAACGAGAGCCATGCTCCACGTCCATCGAACCACACGGTACGCATGTGCCGTGTGTGACGATTGTGGCGACACGGACACAGAGACCTGGCGGCGACCCTGGCCGCCGCTGCTGACGGACCTTGAAGGGATTGCGAATACAAAGAAGATCGTTGTTGGGTCACATACGTGGGAAGTCGTGACAAAATCTCTCCACCCAAGTTGTGTCTTTCTTTTTAAAACAGTTTTATCTTCACCCCGTTACAATTCTGCACCATTTTGTCTGGATGGTAGACGAGATGGGAGGCTAATATGGGTACAGCGGGGGGGGGGGGGGCGAGAGCCATCCAAGTGACCACCTGCCATGGTGCCGTTTTGGTGCGCGGCGTTAGAGAAGACAACAAATCTCAAAAGCTGTGATGTTCCCTGTGTTTGTAAGCTGTTGGACTCTGCCAAATCCAACCAGAATATTCCAAACCATATAGGAAGGACAGGATCAGCAAACGTAGTTAGTGCACTCAGCTTCTCCCGATACAAAAATGTATGTTGTAACAAAACCAAATGGACTTAAGGCGGGTGCTCAGAACTGAACTATAGAAACACGACCCAACGCAGGTGTGC